TAGAGAGAGTGGGACGTGGGGAGAGTGGGACTTGAGAGAGTGGGGGATCTGGGAAAGTGGGACTTGGAAGAGTAGGGGACCTAGGAGAGTGGAACTTAGAAGAGTGGGACTTGGGAGAATGGAACTTGAAGGGTTTAGTAATTGCAAAATTTGCCAAACAAATAATATCCACAATTTTCACTAAATTTTGATTTTAAAATATTTTGCAAAACATTTTGATTTTACCTGTAAATTTGATTCATAATTTTGATCGCCTCAAAATAGACATAACTTATTCTCCATAAAGCTTTCGTGTAACTTGTGTCGTGAAATATTGTTCCTTACATGCACACGTTATTTAGATACCAATGTCTACGACGAAAGCGCTATTCTAAACAGTCAGTGAGTGTCTTCATGTTCGATTTGCTGGATGCAGACAGAATATTCAGAAATCAAGGTACTGGTCGCTTAAGCTCGTTATTGGCTTACGATTTTCTTTTGTACATATTTGATATCAACGAATCGAAAATAGAAACGAATATTCGTCGAAAAATATTTGTATCTTCGCAAAAGTTTGATTTTCATTTCTCTGCTGTTGTCGCCAGCGCCATCTTGAAAGGAAATGGTGGACGAAAAATTCCAATTTAAACTTCATAATTTCCCAAAGCCCTTGGCGCAGGGAAATATCAAAGTTCCATAACATACTTTCGTTATTTTGTAACAGAGAGAATATATTTAATTTTACCAATTTATTATATATTCAAGAATTAATGGCTAAGCTGCATTTTCAAGATGGCTAACAGCATCCGGAATAACTTAATTTATTAACCAGCGTGTACATGCCTGTACCCAGCATTTCTGTATGTCGGTGAAGTTTTGTGCAACGTGTTTTGATTCGAGTAACGAGAACGGTTAAACATACACGGGAACAGAGCGTGGGTCACTAGGCATCGTCGCGCATTGAAAAGGATCCACGCAAGGATCGTCTCGGTCCAATGCGCGTCGCGCGTTATATTGCATTTTGATTTCGAGCTGTCAGCCATTATTTATTTATCCACTCTTCTCTTACACATTACTTACGCGAATAGATTCTTTTTTTTTTACCACTAGTTCTTAAAGAATAAGATTCTCGAAGGCTGTTCAGTGTTCTCGACTGAAATGAAAAATCAATGTCGCAATAGCGCGTGTAACAAAATAAATACGTATTCCCCGCGATATTTGCGGTTTCTTTCGAGATGCTATGAGATGCTACGCGTATCAAACGTTAGCCTATGTGAGACACTTTTAGAAACTTTTGCATTCTGCGACTCGGAGGACGCGAAACTTTCATGAAAATGGCGATGATCGCAGGTGATGCAGCACGTTTGCTATGTCAAATATTGTTCGTTCTGACAATTTAGGTTATGTAAATTTTGATATGTTATTAGTTTCATGTAATTGTTAGGGTACCGTTACAGTAAATAACAACAATTGTAAATGTAATCGTAAGTGTAATGTTGGAGCAGTGGGTACGGCGGCGGGCTGGTAATCGCGGGGGCCCGAGTTCGAATCCCGGTTGGGTCGGTTAGATTTTTTCTGCATTTTCTTGTGTTTCTATTTGAGTAAATTGTATTGTAAATTGAGTAGAGTTAGAATAAATAATAAATAGTAGGTTGAGTAGGATTAGAATAAATAATATAGTAGTTAGGTGTTAGATTGAGTAGAATTAGAATGAAAATAATAATATAGTAGTGTGTTAGGTGTTAGGGTTTGAGTAGAATTAGAATAAAAATAATATAGTTAGAGTAGGTTGAGTAGAATTAGAATAAAAATAATATAGTAGAGTTAGGTTGAGTAGAATTAGTATAAAAATAATATAGTAGAGTAGGTTGAGAAGAATTAGAAGAAAATATAAATTTGACTAATACTAAAAACCAATTAGAAACCTCTAAGAGAATAAATCAGAATAAAATATGTAAAAAATATTTGCATAAAAAAATCTTCCAATTCACATTACCAATAAATGACTGTAATAAACAAACAAGTTAATATTTCATTGTCCCATTTAATTACCGTACCAGTTAATTCCCTCGAAAATTGTTGCGCCAATTTAAAATCGTTGATTATTTATAATATTACGCGACGGAGTCGCAGTATCACATTAATTAGTCACGAAATATTCGACACAACTAATTAGCGAACGTGCTTCATTATTAATTTAAAATTAATCGTGCTAACATGTTCATCGAAAAATGTAATGCATTATTTCCAGCATACGTACCTACATATTTAATCCGACGTAGCAGTTATTTACAAAAAAGATATCGCGCCAGGCTAAAGTATCTCGCTTTATATCGCAGAATTCAATAATAACGTAAATAAATACGTACTTACGTATGCGTGTATTTGTTTATGTCGATGTATATAAATACGACAATGACGATATGTTCTGTGTATCAAAGTCCATATACTTTGTTATACATATTTGCATCTTTTAATACGCAGCAACCTCGCGTGTGGCTTGTGGCTCATTATTTTAACATACAAATATTTATTAAATATTGTATTATTTTAACATGTGGATAAGCTGGATATTTATATATTTTGAAGTCTTCTGACACGAAAGAAGCTCGTTTCTGTCAGTGAACTTGCTGCAATATACAGAGAGAAATTCTTTAACCCTTTCGCTACTGGGGGTATATGGCATTACTGAGTACCGAGAGATGGGTCTAGGTTTCTCCTAGATCTAGGTGTTTTTCTAAATTAGATCTCCCCTAAGTTAAAAACTCCCTAGGTTTACACTTTTTCTGGTCCTAAGTTTTCCTAGGACTACGTTTTCTGTGGATTTTTTCACTAGGTCCAAGTTTCCCTAGGCCTAAGTTTCCTCATAGATTCTGGCTTTCTCTAGCTTTAGGTTCTTCCTAGATTTTCCTATTTTCAGGTTATCTAAAATTGACCCAGGCTTTCCCTAGATCTCCTAGTTCTATTTTTTAGAATTTATGTAATACGAACCTAGGTAAAACCTCCACTTCTAAGCCTACATTTTCCCCACGTTTTCCCCTAGATCAGAGAACCGTACTGTAACGAAAGGGTTAATCCTCAACTGTTTCAACAATTTAGCTCACATCAAGCCTAACTCTCCCAACATCCTATTACCATTAAAATTAATTGGAAAATTAATTTTCCACAATACTCCCAACTTTTCAACAAATCAACAAGATTAAAATTATTATTATTACTGTATATATTAATCAATATATGCTGAAAATGTATTGAAAATGTAACAATATACAATAAAAATTATTCTGAATTTAAAATATCTTTCGTTATCTCAAGGATAACGTTCAGAGCTGTAAAAATATTGCATCAAACACCTTCATTACCAATCGGGTAATATTACGCACTCCACATAGGGATTATCACTATACCTGTTTACTCTGGGACCGAGCGCGTTAATCGCTGCTTCGGTAGCTAAATGTACAGCGCATGACATCGATTATTAATAAGTTAACAATTATATATCTAACACAGTCTGCACCGTGGTCGAAGCAGAAATTCCCCAGAATCGTAAAAAGTGTCGGTTGCCGAATAAAAATGTCCTAGAACTGCTCCTGTTTGTCCTGTTCGTAGGTAAAGAAGAGGTCTCCTTCGATGAAACGTTAATAAATTCACGATGCTCACGGCGATGTAGCAGGAAGCAGAGTAATTACGTTTTAATCCCCTTGTTAATGCGCATACACACACACGCACACTTACGTATCTAACATTCTCGCAGCTTTTTCACCGTTACGAGCGATCTCAGCTGGATTAATAAAAATTCGACACCTTTGTCAACGTTCGACGGAACGTCTCGGTGTAACTTTATTTTGTGTTTCAACGTGCAAGCGGCTATTCCGATCGAAATCAGAAACTAACGACTTCTATTATGCTGGAATACATCCGCTACTCAATATTATTCACGCTTCAAATTTTAAACAAATCTCTCGCTTTTGCAATTTTACTCTCGAAACTTCCGATACTTTTCATTTCTTTTCAAACTTTTAACTTTTGCAACTTCTCAAGTTACAGTGCCGTAGCGGGGCACTCCTGGGCCCCAAGATAAAAAATTTGATAAAAGCCATAGAATGAAATTTTAGTGTAGTGGTTATTTCTGGTTAACTTTAATTTTATCCTGTCATAATATCGTCAGAAGCGTGTACCACTGTCTGGGGCGCTGTGGTCGCCAGAGCCGGCACTGCTCCACATGTACCATTCTTCCAAAGTCGTTAGTATATGCGTATAAATGTTCCTGTATTCTCTAGCAGTTATTTTTAACAATTGTACAGTTAATAAATAGTTCAGAAAGACTTCAGCGTGAAAATCGTTCAAATTTCCCGCGCGACTTAAAATCGAGTAGCAGAGTTCCAGCACACGTTTCTAAATGATCCTTCTAAGAGAGCCTTAATGGTAGTGTCTAAAATGTCCACTCGACCATTCGGTCGAGCATCAACGAAGAGTATCGGCGGGCAAACGTATGATGTCTCGTAAATTCGTATCTGGTTGCGGGACAAATGACGTCAACCAGCGTATGTGTGGATATGTGGGACATTTTTTTCGTGTGAAATAAATGTACAAAACTGGACGAACAGACGTGTTCGTTTCTGAAATTCACCCCCGGTAAAGAAGAGGTCTCCTTCGATGAAACGTTAATAAATTCACGATGCTCACGGCGATGTAGCAGGAAGCAGAGTAATTACGTTTTAATCCCCTTGTTAATGCGCATACACACACACGCACACTTACGTATCTAACATTCTCGCAGCTTTTTCACCGTTACGAGCGATCTCAGCTGGATTAATAAAAATTCGACACCTTTGTCAACGTTCGACGGAACGTCTCGGTGTAACTTTATTTTGTGTTTCAACGTGCAAGCGGCTATTCCGATCGAAATCAGAAACTAACGACTTCTATTATGCTGGAATACATCCGCTACTCAATATTATTCACGCTTCAAATTTTAAACAAATCTCTCGCTTTTGCAATTTTACTCTCGAAACTTCCGATACTTTTCATTTCTTTTCAAACTTTTAACTTTTGCAACTTCTCAAGTTACAGTGCCGTAGCGGGGCACTCCTGGGCCCCAAGATAAAAAATTTGATAAAAGCCATAGAATGAAATTTTAGTGTAGTGGTTATTTCTGGTTAACTTTAATTTTATCCTGTCATAATATCGTCAGAAGCGTGTACCACTGTCTGGGGCGCTGTGGTCGCCAGAGCCGGCACTGCTCCACATGTACCATTCTTCCAAAGTCGTTAGTATATGCGTATAAATGTTCCTGTATTCTCTAGCAGTTATTTTTAACAATTGTACAGTTAATAAATAGTTCAGAAAGACTTCAGCGTGAAAATCGTTCAAATTTCCCGCGCGACTTAAAATCGAGTAGCAGAGTTCCAGCACACGTTTCTAAATGATCCTTCTAAGAGAGCCTTAATGGTAGTGTCTAAAATGTCCACTCGACCATTCGGTCGAGCATCAACGAAGAGTATCGGCGGGCAAACGTATGATGTCTCGTAAATTCGTATCTGGTTGCGGGACAAATGACGTCAACCAGCGTATGTGTGGATATGTGGGACATTTTTTTCGTGTGAAATAAATGTACAAAACTGGACGAACAGACGTGTTCGTTTCTGAAATTCACCCCCTTCACCAACGACCGCGCGAGGACCTGCAAATGGAGGAATTTACCAGGTCATGCGCGGCGAACGGTGGAGGGGGTCTGTCCGCTATGCTTGGTCCACCTCGTGACAAACCTCCATGTAGTCTGGATTATGCATTATGTCCTTGATCATGTCCTTCAGTATCGGGTAACGAGGGAATATTGGATACACCTTTGAACTGTTGTACTCCTCCTGCGGCAAACGTGCATTAGCGTTATTAATGTGGCGGGCGCTGGTGTTAACTCGGTTAGAGCGTAACGGGAATCTCTGACGAAATTACTTCGTTCGCTGGGATAAAGTATTGTTCGTTATTAGGTTAGGTGCTGGGTTATTTCACGGGTTAGGGAAATATTTACGGAGTTTCTTCTTAAGGTAAGATAGATTGTAGCCGCTTTTAATAAACCTGGACTCTCGTTATATTGCCATATAAGTTTCAAATTTAGATATTTCTTAAGGTAGTTTGTGGATTTATTAATTTTGGTTCTCTTACAGATTTGGAATTTTGGGATTGTGGGAACGGCAATATATCGAGGGTCTACAGTGGATGTAGATTATGCAGTGTGGTTTCTGATCGGTTTTTTGTAAGAAAGTTAGCAGGGATACCTTCAAGTCTCGAATCAGATTCCTCAGTCCTGTGTACTTTTTCAGCAGTCTGTACAGATCGTTAGTCATTTGCGTGTTCTCAGCTTCAATCTGGGCTGTCGTCATACCTGCATACATTAAAATAGAATACGTTATTATCTATGACTTACATTTCGAGTTACAGGAATTTGGAGGATATGGGGATCTGAGGATATGGGGTCTGAAGACGTAGGGGTCCTGGGGATATAGGAATCTGAGGACGTAGGGATCTGGGGGATATAGAGATGTGGAGGATGTAGGGATCTGAGGATGTAGGGGCTCGACGGGGATATAGGGATTTGAGGACGTAGGGATCTGGGGGATATAGAGATGTGGAGGATGTAGTGATCTGAGGACGTAGGGGACTGGGGGATATAGAGATGTGGAGGACATAGTGATCTGAGGACGTAGGGGACTGGGGGATATAGGGATCTGGAGATATAGGCTTGTGGGGAACATGGGGATCTGAGGATGTGGATACCTGGGGGATATAGGGATCTGGAGATATAGGCTTGTGGGAGGCATGGGGATCTGAGGATGTAGTGATCTGAGGATGTGGACACCTGGGGGATATAGGGATCTGGGGATATAGGCTTGTGGGAAACATGGGGATCTGAGGATGTAGTGATCTTAGGATGTGGATACCTGGGGGTTATAGGGATCTGGGGATATAGGCTTGTGGGGAACATGGGGATCTGAGGATGTAGTGATCTGAGGATGTGGACACCTGGGGGATATAAAGGTCTGACGAAGTAGTGATCCGAGGATGTAGGGGTCCAGAGGATATTGGGATCAGGTGGATATGTGGATCTGGAAGATATAGGGATCTGGTAGATATGTGGATCTGAAGGCTATAGGGGTTTTGATCTGATGATGCAGGGGCCTGGGTGATATAGAGACCTGGAAGTACAGGGACCTAGAGATAAGGTCCTATGATTGTACGGATATGAACATTCAAGGATCTCATATAGAGATTTGGTTACATAGGATTTTGAGGATGTAGAGATGTGGGACTATAAAGATATAAGAACATAGAAGTCTAGGCATATCCTCCACCATCAAAACAGTTCCATTAAAATGTAGGAATCTATCAACTATTACTAATATATCAATATGCATATCTCCTAAAACTAAATTTATAAAGCAAGATTACAACAAGATTGATGACACCGAAGTATCAAGCACACCACCGAAAGAGTATTCTTCAATTTAGAGGTAAATTTGAAGATCCTACAATAATATTGAATGACAATGCCGCTATAATGCCATAACTGATCCCTTCTGGCCCCTATTGAGCACGTATGATGGAAGGTTATACGTTATTCATGCTTGGAAAGTTTCCAAGCGACAAGACAGCTATCGGGTCATGTCTTTTCCACGCAATTTGTGCAACGAGAATACTCTTCCTTCCAGTATTGCGAATATATACGACGTTTGCTTGAACTTTCAGCGCTCATTATGCATTTAGAGCTTCTGTGCTTTCGTAGCATTTCTGTATTCAAATATCGACGCAAACAGAACAAACGGAATAATGCATCTTATTAAAGTTCTGCAAAATGGCGGTGGATCAATTTCAATTTTAATATATTCAAATATTTATATTTATTTCTTTCGTATTCTTTGTATAATGTCGGATTCTGTGGATAAATGATTTATGAGTGTAAATGGTTCGTTAACTTTTATTGGTGGCTTTAATGAATGGCTGTTTCGAAGAACAAAATGGCTGACCCGAAGAACAAAATGGCTGACGTACTGAACAAAATGGCTGACTATAAATACAATGACTGCTACACAATTTACATATGACGAGTTAATGTTCATTGATGTTTTTAATATAAAATGATTGATTCTAGAAATACAACAGCTGATTATTAAAACAAGATGGCTGACGTACTGAACAAAATGGCTGACTATAAATACAATGACTGTTACACAACTTACATATGACGAGTTAATGTTCATGGTTTTTTTTTAATATAAAATGATTGATTCTATGAATATAACAGCTGATTATTGAAACAAGATGGCTGACTTATTGAACAAAATGGCTGACTCTATAAACCTCATGATTGACACATAATTTCAAATGATGAATTAACGTTCATTGATGTTTTTAACATAAAATAATTTATTTCGCCAATAAAATGGTTGGTTTTAAGAACAAAATGGCTGACTTACTGAACAAAATGGCTGCCTCTATAAACCTCATGACTGACACATAATTTCAAATAACGAATTAACGTTCATTGACGTTTTTAACATAAAATAATTGATTTCAGCAATAAAATGGTTGGTTTCAAGAACAAAATGGCTGACTGAATAAATATAATAACCGACGTACAACCACAAATGACGAGTTAACTCACTTTCGAGTCTCTCGATGCGTTCTCTTTTTGTCTCAGCCTCTTCCGCCAATCTAGCAGAGGTTTTTACGCCTTCCCCGCTTTTGTGAGTCTTCTCCATGATGGAACACGCGCGTAGAACAAAGGCAGGCACCGTCTCCTGTTTCTCCTGCTTCGGAATATCGACCAGTGTCCAGTACTGGGTCTCCAATTTAATCACATCCTGCAAAAATGCAATTACATTCGTTGTATAGCGAATAACAATCGTATTCAAGCTTTCAAATTGTCTTCAGCTATGTGGTTAAATGTAATATGCGATTTTATGTGGTTAAACGATTTTGAACGAGTAATTAGTACTAATTAAGAGGTTGATTTAGAGGAATAAAATTACCTTGATCATGAGTTTTAAGAGATTGTAACGTTGAAACACGTTGCGAACCTGTTTGCTCTCAGTGTATTTACACATCAGCTCAACAAGTGCACGTTTGGCGATCTCGTAGCTTCCATCCAGACGTATCCTCACGATTCTTAATCTCTCGTTTGTTTCGATTACTTCCTCCTTAGTTTGTCCACCTAAGTCAGCAAGAAAATAGATGGTCACAACTTGTATTACAAAGTGCAAGTCAATCAAAGTGCAAGTTCGAATCATATTGTTAATTAAAATTAATTAAAGCTTCATGACAGTTGAAGGACAAATGTACGATACAAAATATATTTCACAAAATATATCTGAACTATAGTAGACTTCAAATTAATTTATTTACAAGTTCAGAAATCAATAAATAAAAATATCGTTTATGTATTAACGTGTCTGGCAAGGCGGACCAAAAGAACCAGTATCGATCCGACTGTCAACTTGTGAGACGTATACTTACTTGAGGTTCCCTCGTCTTTCACATCCTGAACGATCCTCCTAACGCTCTGCGTAAATTTCCCCATCAGATTCGTGCCCGCTGAAACAAATAACAGTCACATAGAAACTTATATTTCACATTTTAAATAATTACCTTATGAACAATACCATTAACACTAAATATTAACTTATGAAACACCCTGTACATCTCGAATGATATTTCCTGTCGAATGTCAGAGTAAAGTATTTTTTAAAATGATATCGAACTTTCATGGTATTCATGTTTGTGAAAGATTCCTGAGGCCACTACTTTTTGAACAGCCTGTACATCGAGAGGCAGCGCGAAGATGGAAACATCACGTAGAGAAGTTCCATGCTGAATTTCAATATGTCCAAACTCTTGAGGGGAAAACACGGAACAAATTCCGGGTGACAGAGCTCTCACGATTTCGCAATGGGACGGCATAACGTCGATCTTTAGATACCTGTTCTTATCTTAACCCTATATGAACTCAAACACAATTGTATCTTCAAGTGTAGCGAGAAGAATTGTGGTACGCTATAAATTTCATTTCTAAGTTGATCTGAAAATTCAATTTAATCTAACTTCATAGTGAAGTATTTGCTATACTGTATATTTAAGTTAACCTAAAGTTCGTAACCTAACTTTCATTTCTACCGTTTTGTTTATTCAAGGGAAACTAAAATGGCTGAGTAAGTTAAAGTGTCCTTCGTAACCTAACTTCAAATTAAAATCAACAAGTGAAAAATTGATGAAAATGAACAGCTCCATCTTTGCGAGCGTCCACCATTTTGTTTACTCAAGAGAAAGAACAAAATGGCTGAGTAAGTTAAAATTTCCTTCGTAACTTAACTTTCAATTAGAACCTTCAACAAGTGAAAAATTGATGAAAACCAATATCGTTTCTAACTTCGCAAGCACCCGCCATTTTGTTTACTAAAGAGAAAGAACAAAATGGCGTCTAAAGCGTGTTCATATTTTTCTTATCCTCAACAAAATCCGCAGCCCTTGCACGAAGTCGCAAAAAATTGATAAAAATTGTTAGACCATAAGACAGAGTACTCCCAGGATAAAATATGATATACCCAGTGATGAATAATAATAACCATAAAAAAGTAGCATTAAACTTTTTCATATCGATTCATGAATGTCGGCGAAAAAACAGGGGCCGTTCAAATAAAACTTTAACCGGGAAAGTTTCGAATACGTGTCGCCGTTATACGAGCGGATAAAAGTCATCTTAAAAGCTTCTGGAAGCTCGGATTTACTCGCGCAATTTTAACGATGTAAGTGCCTGCATAGATACACATCCTGTAGCCCTCATCTTTCTCGAACCGTTTGCAATATTGCATCCGACGATGATACCTTTACGAGAGGTCTTTCTCCCTTTATGACCGAGATTAAAAATATTTTCATCTCTCGTGACGTTCAACGTAAATCCGTGTAATACGATAAAGAAGAAGTTCGTTCTTTGATAACGTGCCGACGATGGAATTCCTTCGAATCTGCGACGAATTTATTTGCTACAATGTAACTGGATAACACGGGGGTGTTTCTTTACACGTTGCGAGTGATATAACGCGAATAAAATCCTATTCCTTTGTGGAAAAATTGAAATTCTCGAAGAGGAACGGTGTACAGTAGACTCTCGTTATATTGCCGTTATTGGGATCTAGGGATATTTGAGGGGATGGGAAATTAGGGAGATGGGGAATTAGGGAGATAGGGAATTAGGGAGACGGGGAGTTAGGGAGATGGGGAATTAGAGAGATGGGGAATTAGAGAGATGGGGAATTAGAGAGATGGGGAATTAGAGAGATGGGGAATTAGAGAGATGGGAAATTTGAGAGATGGGGAATTAGAGAGATGGGGAATTAGAGAGTTGGGGAATTAGGGAGATGGGGAATTAGAGAGATGGGGAATTAGAGAGATGGGGCATTTGAGAGATGGGGAATTTGAGAGATGGGAAATTTGAGAGATGGGGAATTTGAGAGATGGAGAATTCGAGAGATGGGGAATTCGAGAGATGGGGAATTTGAGAGATAGGGGATTTGAAAGACGGGGAATTTGAGAGATGGAGAATTCGAGAGATGGGGAATTTGAGAGATGGGGAATTAGAGAGATGGGGAATTAGAGAGATGGGGAATTAGAGAGATGGGGAATTAGGGAGATAGGGAATTCGAGAGATGAGGAATTAGCGAGATGGGGAATTAGGGAGACGTGGAATTGGGGAGCCGGCGAGTTACGAAGATGGCAAATTACGAGATCAGGAAATTAGAAAATCCGTAAATTAAGAATTCAAAAATATGAAGACATTGAAAGTTGAGAACTCGAAAATAAAAATTGGTCAATTACCACTCGTTAAAATCGCGTTATAATGAACAATGGCGTCTTATCATTCGCAGCATCGCTTTTCTATAGAAATAAAGAGATTCGGAAGCAGCAAGTGGTTCGAGCAAAGCCGATAGCAAGAATGAAACTTCAGTTTGTTTCATTTGGCCGGACGCCAAAAAGCAACAAGCGCATTTGCTGCTTGTTACACGGCTTGCAAAGGAAACACGTTTATCTTGATTACTTGCTGGAAATGTGCCCGCAACTTCTTTCGAGATAATATCAGGATAAAATGAACCTAATGATAATTAAGCTTCACCGTAATTACGACTGATCCATTTTCTCTACTTTTCTCGACATATTTTATTTCATTTTTTCCTGCTGATCGTTCAAGGTAAAATAATTATTATATCATCAAATATTATGAATTTTAAAACGCTCACGAAGAACATACACGCGTTCATTCGAAAATTGTTCCTTTTACGAACGTAGACGCGGCTTCCCTCGCGAGCGAGGTTCAAAGCAAACGGAACATTTAAATTTATCGTTCTGTAATTAGAGTTTTCTTTATCCGAGTTCAAAGGACGCTGCCAAAGGAGTGTACCTGATTCTGAAATAACCAGACGGAGCAAACGTCAACTACACGAGTACGTTTCAACACATTTCGACGTTCATTTTTAATTCTTCACTGCTTCTCATTTTCATCATCAAGTCAAAACTCGAAATTGCGCAGATTTTTAAAGTTTCAATTGTGAAAGATTCAAGTTTCCGAACGTAAAGAAATTTCAAATTTCCCGCCTTCTGGAGCCCCGAAAGCGGGGAACTATCGAGTGACTATTTTTATACAATTACACTAAGTTACACTCATTATACTAATTGTATACTCATCATTTTTTATGATTCTTAAATAATTACATCGTGTACTTTCTTTATTTTATACACAAAACCCATTTAAATTTCCCGCCAATTTGACGAACAATTATTGAACATTCATTTATGAAAGGTCAACAAATAAATTATAACCATACATTTAATTTCCATTGAAAGCGAAGAGTGTGCACAGTTGATGGAGTAGAACAAAAATTGTATATTTGCGACATAGCCCCTCGAAAAACGAAGAGGCAACACGCAATCGTGGTGTTTGGAAAACCGTGGGGCGAATTCACGGGCCATTGTAGGATGAATTGTTTGGCGTGTGTGCAGCTTCGAAAATCAGTAAACTGCGCTTTTTATTGGAAGCATCGAGGCGCGAGTCAAGTGCTTTGAACACGGTTACCGCCACATCGGGTCTCGCCATGCTGATCAAACATATCGACCGCAATTCTGCGGCTTTCATACGATTCGTGTAAGTGCCAGACCGAACGACGGACGGATAGCTATGCACATCGCGTTCTGATTGCTTCGTCCTCCAAAACTAGCGATGGGTCTAAACGAACCTCATATACATCACTTCTTTTTATGTACAAGTATTTTTAAGAATGTCTCGCTATATTGCCGGCGAAATTCACTATGGTATTTTTGTGGATGGTGGATTATTGTGCTAAGATGGTTTAGCAGTTTATACGTACTTATACATCTCTTATTTTTATGTACAAGTATTTTTAAGAATAAGTCTCGCTATATTGCCGGCGAGATTCACTATGGTATTTTTGTGGATGGTGGATTATTGTGTTAAGATGGTTCAGCAGTTTATATGTATTTATACAACACTTCTTTTTATATAAAAGTATTTTTAAGAATAAGTCTCACTATATTGCCGGCTCAGATTCACTATGGTATTTTTGTGGATGTTGGATTATTGTGCTAAGATGGTTCAGCAGTTTATATGTACTTATACATCTCTTATTTTTATGTGCAAGTCATTTTAGGTACAAGTCTCGCTATATTGCCGGTTCAGATAGGTTTATTATAGAATTTTTATGAATGGTGTATTATTGTACTAAGGATGACAGTTTGGAGAATTTTATACATTTCCTAGACTCTAATATTTCCGTCCAACCCAGAACTTCCGCTCAAATAAGCTCGAGTATCGAACACCTTCAACAAGATGTCGGGAATTAGCGATCGTTGCGTGCACGCATCACAGAATACAGAAGTTAGTAGATTTTTGCGTCGATCCCCGAAGTTTCGAGTGAACTTTCAACGAAGCAGAAACGCGAGCGATTTAGAAACTCGAAGAAGTTGTTCGATAACTCGAGAGCGATGACGCAGTTCCGATCGGTTTCTAGAAGCACAGCGAAACCAGCGACGCAAAGCTTCATTCCCGATGGCAGTCGCGAGAGGCTAACTGAGCCGCATTGTTACTGGCACACGCCTTTGGATAATTGTATCGATGACAAAGAACGACGATGTCATGCACTTGCAAAACCCGCGACGCGAACCTATCGTAATAAAAATAGGCAATGTGGTGTTCGTGGCCATGACTGAGTCGCATTGTTCGATGTCGGACGTTACGCTCCTTTGGACGATGATTAAATTGCTTCTAGACTATTACTATATACCTCTTATTATGTTAATTTATGAACTATTGTCTTTTATAGAACTTATTAGAGAATTCGTAGTAGCTTTTTTTATTTTATTTGCGATTTGTGGAAGATTTGTTCTGGGGCTTTGGGTGTTCATTGTACGTTGCTGGTAATGTTGGACGCTTTCCGTGACATTTATAAGATTTGGGAGTCTAGGGATTGGAGAAGGGATTGGAATAGGGAGTTGGAGAATTGGAAATTTGGCTAGTTGCGTATTTGGGA